TAGAACAAATGAGAAATAATTTTTTTCATGATTAAGGTGAAACATAAACTCATGATAGGTATATTTCAGTTATTATTTAATTTACTGATATTTTCCAATACAATACCACTAATCCTTGTGAATCATCTCAATCGAGGAAGGGAAAAATTTTATTGTAGTTCATGTCTCTATGATGTTCTCTACATTCCATCTACTTCATATGAGGATAAAAAGATATAAAAATATTTAAATAAAAGGCAAAACTTTTAAACATGAGCATAAACTCAGAAGATCCTATTCTATAGGCCTGTATAATTTTAAAATACTCTATAATCCACTGTAGAAATAATAACTTAGAAATAGAAGAACTATCTCTTTAAATTGATTCCACATACTAATGATCATAAGTTTCGGAAAATCTTTTCATAGAAAATATTAAGTCACTGCACTTGCCAAAATAATGGGCTTTATGTTGATAGTTCTCACCTCGTATTAATATTTTAGAATCGTTACTAAAAGTACATTTTTCTCGCTCCTCTATTTTTTGTAATAGCCTCATTGCAAATTTTACTCCTTCCTCCATATCCCCAAACCTCATTTCAAATTCTACTCATTTCTCCATACCCCAAACCTGTTACTCAATTTTAAGTTTCCTTAAGTCTCCTTTACAAAGTATGTGCAAAGCCCTCTGCATTCCTGATCTAATTTAATAGTACCTATGGGACGGATTTAAACATGAGGAAATTTAACCTTAAATTAGGTAAACTGTTCAAGGTCACAAAGCTTAAATAAGTGGTAGGGCCAGAACTTGAACTCAGGTCTATGATGGGGAAATCTATTCTGGTAAAATCTGTACTACGTTGCTTTACATGTAAATACCACTTAGTTTTTAAATACTTTCACATAGGTTATTTACAGTTTAATCTCACTTGAACTCATAATACCCTTGAAAGGAAGGTTCCTAAGTATAAAACCCTAAGCCCCCACTCCCAACTTTACTTAAAAGAGCATGTAACTAAAGTGGCAGAGCTGAATGATGATCCTCTGACTTTTAGTCTAGTGCTGTATCACTCGTTGCCTGTACAGAGCCACTTTTTCACTAAGTACAATTCACTCCTCTCCCTTTCCTTTCATCCAAATATGTTGTAACATATATGTACACACATATGTTGTGAAAATAAGTTGGTCATTGCATTAATAAAGTCCAACTGAGGTTTACATATGGTCCACAGACCATGATTTGGATGGTTATTAATACTGATTTATATTTGAAAGCTAATACCTAGTGCACAACCTTAGAAACAGCTATTATCTACAAGAACTTTAAAAGTACTTTACTCTCCTTGTCCTGTTGTCCAACATTCATTCAAAAAAAATTTACTTAGTACCTATCAGGTACTTCAGCATCCTTGTGCTGAAGACACAACAGTAGAAACACTGTCCTTGAACTCCCAGGAGCTTTACAGTTTACTAAGGAACAGCCCAGAAAACAGCAATTAAATACAGTGTGCTAGAAATGAAAACAGAGGAATAAAAAATATTGTGTAGTGGTCTATA